CAGCCGTGGAAGCCGAAGCCGTAGCTGCCCGGCGAGCAGGTGTCACAGCAGCGCCCCACCACGTTGGCTTTGCACTGGCACTGGCCCCCCAGCCTGCTGCAGCTGCCATGCAGGGACCCCTGGGGGTTGCACCTACATGCTGCCAAGGGGAAAGAAAATCAAACCGGGTTTGGTTACCAAGGAGTGCAGTTTGACTGCTCTCATCAATTTGCGGGGTTTACGCTTAAAAATAGGCAGGGGAGAGCTTGATTATTCTCATCAGGAGTTCACCGACCACTGGCTTGGTTCACATGGAGTTCACATCCATGGCTTAGGTGATTTGATGCTGCAGCATTGTTGGTGATGGTGTATTGGGCACCAGCACAAGTCTTGGTGTTGGAGCTGCCACATTCAGGGCACTGACTTCAGCACATGTTTGGGAAAGGACAGGAGAGGCTGTAGAAAAGTGTAGTTCCAAAACTGAGATACCCTGAAGTCTAGAAGGGTCTGACACAAATCTATGCCTAGCATCAGCACTGGACATAACCCACAAGCAGTACTTGGACAGCCTGCAGCTGAGCACTGTTTGCTGCTTTCTGGACACCTTGAACTGACTTGTTGAGTAAGGCTGCTCTGCTAACTCACAGAAGATGTTTGTGCAAGATGCTCAAATGCCAGCACTAGGAAGCCAAAGTGCTGTGTTGCATTGGGAGAATCTCATCACTGTGGGGATCGGGCTAACGGGGAGTTAGCACAGCCCAGACACAAATGAAGGGGGCCTGTGGCTGCAAGCCACATGATGTGTGAGGCACTGGTCCTTCTAAAAATAGATGCTACCAGGTTCGTTGGACACAAGGCTCTCTGAAAGGAACTGGGCACCAGAGTTGTCCAGAAAGGCCTTTCCTATTACTGGAAGTGCCAAGAAGCCAAATTTCTCTGAGCCCAACACCAAGGAAGCTTCCTTAGCCACTAAGCCAAGGTGTCCTTTCTGTGGTGGGTCCAGAAGACTTTCTGGCCCTTCAAACCCCCCCTGCCACTGTCCCCTTGTTGGGACACCACCGAGGTTTTATTGATGAATCTCTTCCAGCACATCAGTTTCCGTGCTATCAGGCCTGGAGTCTGAGACCAGGCATAGAGCTGGCCTGCAGCAGCCGGGGAGAGGGCTTACAAACTCCTCTCTCATTTTACAGCAGCCAGAAAAGTAGGAAAGGTACTGCTTTGGCCATCTGGTGAAATTGCATCTGGTCAAAATGCTCTTCAGAAAACAAACACTGCCATGGTCCCCGTCACACCGCTCCATGAAGCTCACCAGGCGTGATGGCCACCAAAAAGTGTTTGCAGTGCACTCAGGGGGATGTATCCTGCATGTCCATATACCACGTGCTGATCGGTTTCACTTACTTACAGCACCACGGGCTGAGAGATCCCCAGTTAACATTTCCTGCAAAGCCAAGGGAAAACCAGCCAGCGCCCGGACGAGCTGCCTGTGCAGGCTGCCCCTTACCGACGGCGCCGCCGTGGATCCGGGCTGACATGCTCGCTATGAGCCGCGCACACGCCTCGGGCAGGACGTGGGGTCCAACTTCTGATGCAATTTCAACACAGTGATACTTCTGGTACTCATCTAAATCCTTTTCACTGCATAAGTTTTCCACGGAGGCAATCCTGGGAATAAGTCCAAGCTTTGGTGTTGAGAGGGAAAAGAAAATACTTCTGCTTAGACACACTGAAAAACAGATTTTCCCACATTCTCTTACTGTGCTCCACACTGCAAGGACAGAGGCCTGGAGCACTGTGTTTCCAAATCTGCCATTGTGCTGGCTCAGTAATCTGAATTCACATTTATTCTGAAGCTCTAGACATTCCCCAAGTCCTTCAATTAAAAGAGACTGTGTATAAAAAAGTAAGACATAAGACCCCAGATAGATGCTCAGAATTGGTTTTGCTTCTTAGAGGTGCCACGCTGATGACTCCAAAAGCAGTATCTGGCCAAAGTTTTTACTTGTAACACTGAGACAGAGAAAAATCAGGTGAAGGTTCTATGTCCAACTATGGCCAGCAGCTGTCAGGTCCAGTTCTACAGAAGTAATTAGAGGAATGGACTTAAAAATATTTTTCTCAAGAGAAGGACCCAAAACTAACATCCAGTTTCTCAGTTGGTGGAAACTTAGGAAACGTCTTAGAGCTGATTCCTGGGAAAGTACAGAGCTTATTTTACTTTTCCAATGTGATCTTTAAATAGACCCATCATTTTTAATTAGACAATTTAAAAAAAAACAACTAAGTGATAAAGAACTGTATGAATTTATATGCCTAACCACAGCATCTTGTCAGCATATGTGGAATGAGCTCATAATAAATTAGTAACAGATAAAGATACATACTCTGAATCCTAACATAAGCAATGAGAATCACTTGATAAGCTATTATGGTATTGCTCCATGAAAATTAAACCAGATACAATTCTGTCTTTCCATACAAAAACATGCAAACACAGTGCCAATGCAGGTAAGCAGAAGTACACTTCCCTGAATTTCTATTAAAATACACTCTAAATAGTTTCAAAATATTTTTAGTAAGTCTGTGTAAAAAATAAAAATCACATTGATATAAACACAGCCTCAAGGGAATTGTGACAGAACTACTCACTGAGTCAATCAGGATGAATGATTTCATTTTTGGGTCAGAGGCAGAGGGCTGAGAAAAATACACATCCACAGAGTATTCTGTTCCTGGCTCCAGGCAGACTGGAGTTTGCAAAAGTGCAATCCTGTTCAGCAGAAATAAAGCACAATTATAGCCAGCAGTTGGGACAAGGCAAGTTTATGTGATGCTGTGAGCTCTCCCTCCCCTGTGGGGAGCAAACCCAGCCCTGCTGCTGCAGGCTTTGGGAAAGCTGCATGGTTTATGTCTGGATAATTCACCCAGCACAATTTAAACCTGGTGAGATTAAGCTGAACATGGCAGGTTTTGCTACTTCAAGCAAAGGAATGTGCAACTCACTGCCCATGTTTGTCCTTTCCTGTCTCTGTTTGATCCTATCCTCTTGGTTCCTCTCTAATATTTATATAGGTCCAAGTTGAAAAGCTGGTTTTGAAAATAGGCTAGGACAGTGACTTTTCATCAATATTTCCTTTCTATACTGAAATAGCTGCAGCTGGAACTTCACCAAAGTGACAACTGACCCCACCAGGACCCCAGGCTGCTCTCCTGGCGTGAGTAAACCTTTGCCAGGCTGCAGACTAAACCATCAGACTCTTCCTTAGAGCCTACGTAGTGCTGTGGTGTGACAGCAACGGGAAGGGCCACATGTGTTTCTAATACTCCCACTTTCCCACACATTTCTTGCTCTGCAGTGCTTCAGTAACTGATTTGGATGCAGAAAATCTACAGGCAAAAGGACAAGTATAGTCAGACCTCTTAGCTGCTGGGAGAGGCAATGCATGTGGCTCCTGTGAAAGGCCCTTGTTCTTGCAGCCTTGACTTGACAGAACTCCAGCAGGCTGGATGGCAACACTTGCTACCCAGTCTTCCAAGGACTATAAACAAAGGACAAAAATTATGGTCATTTCTCATATCTGAAAAACCCACTTCCTTTTTACCAGGGTTAGTGAAAAACATCTGAATTATTGCACTCTGCAGTGACATCACATATTTTCTCTTTGTTCTTTATAGGAGTGAAAAAAAATAATGTTATTTGTGAAAAATGCATTGTGTTTGCAATGACTAATTGAAGAGCAGAGATGGAAATGGGACCTCAGCTGGTGCAATTGGAAATAATTTCTGTTAAAATCATTGGAGTTGTTTCCTTTCTTAGCACAACGTTGTCCTGGAGATATCCTTCAATATCCACCTCCTCTTACATCTAATAAGGAATAACAAACATAAAAGACTTTGTAACAAATGTCTTTATAATTCAAATGTTTAATCTAATCCTTAGAAGGAAAAAACTACATCAAACCAGCCCACTGCAAAATTGTTCTCACATGTTAAGACACTGGGAGTTTTGTTTGCCTCAGAATAACAGTAAGAGAAGATAATACAACAGACAGACGTAGGATGCCAAGTGATGGGATTGTCCCAGGGAGCTGCAAAGAGAAAGAGCAAGGCATGTACATACACTGGTACCCATAAAACACTTGTCAGTGTTTTTGAAGACATGGGTGAGGACTTGGGTTTTACCATATCTGGGTTAACATATTTCCCTAGACATTTCTTCATCATTGAGAAATTTTGTCCAGGCAAAAAACAAGACGTTGGCTATTTTCCTACAATTTCCACACATCTCAGAACCCAGCTGAAGCAAGTGGAAAGCTGCATAGTTGCAAATGCCCTGGATCCACTCCTCTCTGCCTACATTTTCCTGCCCAAAAAATCCCAGCTAGAAACACAAGGTGCCCATCTAAATGGAGATGCATTTTGCATGTGTCTGATTTGTGAGCAGTGCAAGCAAAGGTACCAAAAGAGGAACTCCAGAAGAGGAAATCTTGGCTGATGCTTAGAAAACACTTGTAAGTGCTGATTTTTCAGATTTGAGTGGAAAGGGCTAAAGGGATTAGTGGAGGGCATGTTGGTCGATAAGGATGAAAAGGCAAAACAAATATAAAGAGTGGGACAAGTTGCTGCATCCTATTACTGACAAAATAGACCCTGCATCTATCACAACATCACAAGACACACAAGATATCACAAGTACCTCAGGCTCATAACGGATCGCGATATCAAAGTCCATGGCAAAGGGAACGTTGCTGATGGCAAATCTGAGCCCGGCTCCGCTGGGAACGCGGGCAAAGCCAGGGCCTGTCCACGTGACTGACCGACCGGCGCTGGGCGGCCTGAAAACCACTGACACAGCCGAGTCCTGTCCCGCCTGCATCACACCCTGCAGAGACATACTGACATTTTCAACAACGCAGAGTCAAATTACAAATAAACAGACTCAGAAAAAAAAGGGAATATTTTACCTTGTTGTTTACTTATTTTGGGCATCAGTCAGCACATTTGCTGAACAAGCTTGAGATCAACCATCAAAGAACTCTCCCAAATACAGGATGTTTAGCGTCACATATAAAGAAAATCTTCCTATAGCTTTGCATCAACAGCAACGAGAGGGACTAGAATAAAACATCCATCTCTGTGTATCTGGCATCTCCAAGCATTCACATTGCAAACCTCAAACAGATTTAGCCTGATTTCATCCATGGCTGGACTTTTCATTATGAGCTGAATAAATACATTTCAATACTCATAATGACAAAGCTGGCAGCATTTAAATGCTGTAGGAACTGCGTTAACATCTTGGTAAACTTGTTGGAAAACAGAAAATGTTCTGGTTTGGTGGGGTTTTTGACTGTGGGACAAGGGCCACAAGAGGGGCTCCGTTAAGAGGCTGAGAAGCTCCCCCTGCTCCAAACCCAGCCAAGAAGCCATTAGAGGGACAACAGATGCAGCTCAGCGATTAACACACAAAAGAACGGATATAACACCCGAGCAGAGAAGGAGGAGAGAACAGCTGTGCTGGGGAAGGAGAGCGGTGCTGGTGGTTGGTGAGGAAGAAGGGGAAGAAGGTGCCCAAGCAGAAGTTTCCCTGCAACCCATGGCGAGATGGCAGCTGTGCCCCAGCACTCATTGAGCAACATGGTGGAACATTCCCTGAAGTTGCCAGGAGGGGTGAACTTGGCCACTGGACTTGGATTTTGTGGCCAGAGGATTTGCTGCCTGTGGACTCTGATTGCGCAGCTTTGGAAGACCCTGGTGCCAGGGGAGTTTGTTCCCGAAGGAGCCCGTGACTCTGTGGGAAGCCCAGGCTGGAGCAGCTCCGGACCTCGTGGGAAGGACTCATGAAGGAGAGGTTCGTGGAGGACTCTCTCCCATGGGAGGGACCCCATGGGGAAGCAGGGAAGGACTGCAAGGAATCCTTCTTCCTGAGGAGGAAGGAGCAGCAGGAACCACCAGCCTGTGAACTGACTCTAAACCCCATCCCCTGTCCCCCTGTGCCGCTGGGGGGAAGGAGGGAGAGAAACCGGGAACAAAGTGATTTGGGCCTGGGAAGAAGGGAGGGGTGGGGTAACATACACAAGCCCTGCTCTTTGTGTTGTCTGTGTCCTGTGTGTGTTTGATTAGTGTGAAATTAAATTATTATTTTTTCCCCAAGTTGAGTCTGTTTTGCCTGGGACCTTAATCGGTGAAGAACCCTCCTTGTCCTTTGTCTCGACCCATGAGCTTTATCCTCCTCATCCCAGTGTGTCTGTGGGAGGGGGGCAGGGAGGGAAAGGGGAGTTGAGTGAGCAGCCATGGGCCTGTCCCTTTCTTGTTGTGTTGGGCCCAAACCATGACATAACATCAAGCCAAGCAGGAAAGAGACAAGGAATCACGACAGAAAATGTTGGAAATGTCTTGCAAGCAAAACAATAAAAAAAGAGGTCTTATCTTTCATAGTGGCTCTTCTCCTTCTAAACAATTAATTGAATCTAAGTCTACAAAGGCACTGGACATAGTAGAGCAAACCTGTCAATGTGAATTATAAAATGTCTGACCCAGCTGTGTACCAAAAAAATTATTTCATTTGTGTCAGGACTGCAACGTCTAGGACTGCAAATGCCACAAGCCCAGACACTTCTCTCTCACAAAATAAAGTTTTAGTATTAGGTGCAATTCTAGGTTCAATTCAAGAACCATTTTACCTGTTCCAGTCCAGATTTTCTTACACTTCGTTTCTTGCTCCTATTTAACACAATCTTTCCATTTTCAATCATAAACTCATAGCCTTGCTTCTGGAAGTAGATGTCACACCTTGGAAGAGCACTTGGTTTAACCTGTGAAGTAATAAGAGAGCATAAGCACCCTCTCAAAAATTCTGAAGGGTAGGAAAGCAGCTAAATTAAAATCTACATTCTTAAAACAAGCTATATTCTCTGATGGGTGAAACTCTAAACTATGGCCCAGCAGCTGCTGGAAACCCTTTTACCTCACCCCCTTAAAATTAACTTGCACTTCCTCTTAATAAGCTATGTCCCAGACATCTGTTTTCCATTTAATTATTGGACTGTAGGATGATTACTGGTTGTAATTATATCTAAATATTTGTGGATGTGACCTGCAAATAAACATTTTTTTATTCTTTCTTCTCTATAGCTTCTGGACAACACATCAGAGAAGAATTGTTTGTAAAAACACAGACAGCAGAAGGGATATGTTCCAGGCTTGTACTCTGCAAGGGGAAAAACTACCACCATGTTCAGGGAGGAAAAAATAAATGAAACTTAATTTTTCTTGAAGCATTACAGATGGATGCCAAATTCCTGAGGAAACTGGGCTGCAATCAGTGCCATTATATAAGGCAGCAGGAACGAGTCCAATGGAGCAGAGAGGAATTTGATTCCTCCCCTGTTGGAGATTCCCAGAAATATCCCAGTTCATGATAGCTGTTGGCAAGTCACTTTCCTCTAGTTTACATGATGAAATTAATTTCTCTAATTCATGGTACACTAGCTTGCATTTGAGGAGCAGCAGGGACAGCTTTGCAGGTCACACCATGCTGAAGCCACTGTCCCTTGGTAACAGTTACGTCCACAAAGAACAAGGCTGAACTGAGGGTGGTCAAGAGACTTGATTTGTATCTTCCTGCTAAAGAGCCACTCCAGCTGCTCCCTGAGCAAGGGCTCCTCTCCTCAGCCTCAGCTCCTGTGCCACCACTGCAGGTGTCCCTCTCAGTATGGCATCTAAAAAGCCAAACTACATACCAAGGGTGCAGAGCCAGACAGGGGCTTTGCATGTTCAGCTTCATAAATGTAATAATCCAGGGGTAAAAAGAAGTAGCCTGGGGCTGGCTCGTTACACTGGCGGCTCACGATGTTGGGAAGACACTTGCATTGACCATCCTTTGGTGAGCACCTAGGGTAAGAGTGGGTGAAGGGAGGGCATCAGAGTGTGGCATGGCTGGGTCCCCACAGCATGAGAGCAGCTCAGCTCCACCCTTGTTTCAGCTCTTCCTCATTTCTGCCACTATTACTTAGCCTCTCCTGTTAAATTTCAGCCTACCACCCACCCCTTCTGTTTCCCCCTTCTGATGTTGGATTTATTCAATGCTACTTTTTCATCCCTGAGGGAGTGCAAAATGCTTTGTCTTTCTCCATCCATTCCATCCATATCTGAAGCACAAATACTTTTGTTTCCTGAGCATTTGTTACTGTCTATTCCTGCAGCTATTTATTGTGACTGTTCCCATATCTATTACTGTATATATCACTATTCTTAAGTATCATGGGATCAGAAGGACCTTTGATGTGATATGTTAATTTTCATATACTTACACTCTTATTTAACACGTCAGATGATTACTAGCTTTGATTTTTACCTGCTCACACGGAGCTGCTCTATGGCATTGGACTATGTGCTCCTATGTCTGAAGTCTAACAGCAGTAGTGAAGACCCCTGGCCAACAAACTCCTGAAGGAACCCAACTCAAACCAGGCTTGCTTCTGAAATTATATATTTTTAATAGGAGCAAATATGACAGAAAAAAAAAAAAAAAGATGATATTTCAAGCTTTTAAAATTGATGTATAAAGCTAAGTTAAAAATGTAATCTCTATCTTACTTGTGATTTCTATTAGTATTAGGGCCTTTGGTTCTTTCAAACCATGCAGTTTATATTTTATATTAAACAAAACTTGACTCAAGCTGATTCAAAGTTGGTTTCAAAAGAAAAAGGTACATCCCCTTCAGAAACACAAATAAATTTCAATGATCCAAACATAACTTTACACCAGCTGTTTGTGATGAAATTAGGCCTACAGCCTATTTTCCCATTTGTACCAAGACTCTGTTAACCTAATTAGAAAGTGTAGCCTAAGAGTTAATAAAAATTAAAACAAAGATAAAACTCAAGAACATCAACTTACAAGTTATTCAGGGACCCACCAATGTCACAGTCACATGGAGAACAGCCATGCAAGCTGTTGCCCAGACCCCAGTATCCTACCTGGGAAAAAAAGAAAGTGAAATATTTTTTTAATGATAGGTATTTAAGTATGTAAAGCACACGAGAACTTATTCCCCATGGTGAACAATGTTCTGGAACACTCCTGGGCTGTGTGCCTGTGCTTGGCCATGGGAGATTGCCTCTTGTACCAGACTGCATGGGCACTCAGTCACTGCAAGAACCAGGTATTTACCCATTTGCTCAAGCAAGTTGCTCTGTGAACAGGAAAAATGGCCTGAAAATATGATTTTGCATTTTCTTTCATCCCTGGGAGTGTTGCTCCTAGTGCAACGTGATGGCACAAACGTTTGCAAGCAGTGACAAAGCACCAGACACGCCAATGCAAAAAGGGAGCACACAGCTGGCACATCATCTTGAATTCTGACCGTTCCCTTTTCTGGCAATGAAGAGGCGTGAGGTGGGACCTGTACAACCGCGGGCAGAAGGAAGAACAAAACCTGAGCACGTACGAGGCACCTGTCGCAGCTCGGGCCGGTGGCGAAGCGGCGGCAGAGGCAGCGCCCGGTGTCGGGGCGGCAGGCGGGGGAGAGGCTGCCCGGGGGGTGGCACCCGCAGCCTGCGGGGACAGAAACCCGCGTCACCGGCAGCAGGGCTGGGGTCTCCGTCCTGCAGACAGATGCTCTGCAAGATGGACGTGCCCTGGCACCCTGCAGCCCGAGGGCTGTCCCTGGGGAATGGATCGTTTTCTCAGGGGGAGCCTGGGAAGCACCCGGTTCCTCGGGACGCTCCCGGGGGGCAGCAGGGGCGCTGCAGAAGTGGGGTGCAGTGGTTTGTTTGCCGTGTGCTGAGCCGCACCACGCAGACCTTGCACATTGCTGGCTGCCAGGCTGTGGGCAGAACCTGCTCACAAGCCCAGGGTGTGCCTGGGTAGGGGCGGGATGTGCTTTCCAGTGAGCTTTGCTCGGAGGAACAGCTGGCTGGAAGTTCTTGGGGCAAGGCAGCAGCTCCTGCCACCTCTGCATTGCACCGTGCAGTGCAGTCTGAGTATCCTAGCAGTGATTCCTGGGAACCCCCCTCTGGCTTTTCAATCACCCCTGTGCTAATTTTGATCAAAAAAATATTGTTGTGAGTTTTAAATTAAATAGAATATTTAACAATGCTTCTATTCACGACAGCCTGACCCATTAGAATAGACTATGTATTCTGCAAGTGATTTTGCATCTTTTCCATCCCAGATGCTGCACCAGGTACATTCAATTACATTGACATTAAATTATATCAGGCAACTGGGTCTTTTTGTGAAGCAGGTAGTATCTGCACGTCGTTATCTGTGCGTCCAGCTGCCTCCACGTTACAAGTGCTTTGGAAAGAACAGATAGAGGGGGTTTACATACGCCGGCAGCCCAGAGGGTCACTGCCACTCAGCCCGAAGTAGTTGTCCCTGCACTTGTCACAGCGCACGCCCTCCACGTGCTCCTTGCACGGGCACCGACCCGCCACCGTGCCCAGGGCCGCGTCCGTGCGGCTCTCGCACGCGCCGCTGTGCAACGTGCCCTCTGGGTCACAGTTGCAGGCTACAGCCACGGTCCAGGAGACAGATTAAAAAAAAGCACATTCAGATAAAAGCATGAAAGCACAACTACAGAGTTGCAAGTAGGCACAATGTCAGGATTCTTGGGAAGATGAAAGACATTCATCCGTGCTCGCTGTGTCGGACGCTTTACGGTTAATACACAGCTGCTGTTAAGAAATACTAGGAGAGTGTTTCCAAGGTTTACTGCTTCTCTGCTGGAGAGTTAGTCTTCACTTTAGTAGAAACATACCCTTTGCTTTGGGTAGAAATAGGGATTACTTGTCCCCTCCCTCCATAGTGCCTGGGGAGGGCCCTGTAAATATAAATTATAATTTGGGGGATGTTCTCATGAAAGCTGCAGGGTAGCAGAGGGATACCAGTTGTGAACCACCCTGCTAATGCTGGTCTGAGTTGGTCATGGCTGAATTACTTCCTGGAAGCAATGGATGCAGCAGGTGACACTGCCTTCATGAGACATCCTGATTTTTTCTAAAGTACTACTCTGACATCTGCCACACCACTTCCCCAGATAATATTTGCTTGGCTCCTTAAGGACTTATTATGCCCACCAATTACTACAATTAAACTACACTCAGAGCATTTTTTCCCCTCCTATGTTAATACTGAATTTAGCTCATCCTTCAGAAGGGCTTTCATGCCTGAAAGCTTATTTTTCTTATATATGGCAGGCATCTAGCAACATTCATTGCTCCTCACATCATTTTGCACACCTCCTGTAATCCCTGAGTATTGCAGAAGCAACAGCACTAATACTAGTCATATTTACACTGATACTGTTCAAGAAAGATTCTAGCCCTGCTGGATTTCAAAGTTCACTTCAGCAATGAGTTGGAATATGCAGCCCTTTTCACAATGCTGGTTCAAGGATGCTATAATGCAACTACTTTATAAAGCAGTTGGGATGCTATAGGTTTAGTAACATTTTTACAAACCTATGAATATTAAAGCATGGGGATACTATAAGGTTCAGAGCAAAGAAATCCAGAATCACCCTGCTTTGAGTCATTCCTACAGATGCTAAAGAAGGAAAGCTTACGGAGGCACGCGTGGGGGTCTGAGATGACTTTGAGTGGGTCTTGGTAAAAGAAACGTCTGCACTGGTCACAGTGTTGTCCTGTGGTGTTATCCTGACAGTCCTCACAAACACCACCACTGACCCCACCACTGGCCTGGTACACAGCCATGTCAAAGTGGCACCTTCCAGAGTGGCCGTTGCAGTTACACCCTGAAACCAAAACAAAAAGTGGAGTATTTTGCACCATGACTCCTACTGATGCCACCCTGCCACCGCTGCTGTCTACCGTTAACATAGGGTCACTTGTCATTCATATGATTTCAATGCCCCAGCAAGATTATAGCTTCCCAGGCTTTGTGCTTTACAACTGGGGAAAAACACTGAAGAAATGACAGAACTGGGCCATGCACCTGGAAAAATACCCATGCAGGTGACTTCCTGATACACAGTGGGAAATACTGCTCCACTGAAGGAAGATCGAGCTGAATATTTGTTACAAAACTTATATATCCTAGATTACTCATTATTGTGGAAATAAATAATTTAGCCTCCCAGAAACCCATCCATCCCATTATGTATTGTGCTGGGATTGCCCTACACCTCCCTCCCCCATCTATTGAAAGCTATTGAAAAGGAAAATAATATGTTTGAGTTACGTTTGCAAGCATTATCTTGTGTCCCTTCAGCTGGTCTCCAGGGAGCATCATTGTAAAAATCTTTACATCTTTCACAAGAAAAACCTTCAGTGTTATGGTGGCAGATGCATCTCCCATGGACCTGCAATGCAGTGAGAACAGAGAGGAGGTGAGGTGACAAGAGAGAAAAAGGAATAGAGGAGAGATCTGCTCAAAGTATGCCAGCAAGATCAGGAAAATTCAAAGCTCTTTGGCTCCCTCAGCTGACGTAATTCCCAATTTATCTTAGTAAGAGGTCTTGAGAATACCTGCAAACTTTAACCAATAAGTTTTAAAGTCACTGAGCAATATTTAGGAAAAGAAGAATACTTCTAGAGATACCAAAGGAGACTACCTCTGTCTCCACATGTCTCTATGTCAAGATACATATTTTCTAGGAGAAAAAACCTCTTGTTCCCAGAAGGAAAGAATTCACAATCATGTTCCCGAATTTTTTAATAATCCGTTTTACATGGATTAGCTTTGCACTATCAGCTATTTGTGCCAATGGCTCCTCTCATGCTGCAGAGCCCCTGAGCCCAGCTGGAGTATGGAATGCACCCAACAAGTGGCCATTCAAGTCTGCACACACCACAGGCTACTTATTGCATTACATTTGCACCATTACAGCTCTGGTATTTTGCTGCTATTTTCAACATGTCTTGTCCCAGTTGCTTTTGAAAAACCACATTAGTGTTAACAAAGAGACAGCTTCTGAGCACTCCAGCTCAGGTTTTTAAAAGAAGAAGCTGTATTGAAATATTTTACAACTTGCAGTTGCAGTTGGTCAATGAAATGGTCATCAGAGAACTTCTTTCTTCTTCTTCCCTCCATCTAATCCTTCCCCCACAATACCAGGTAGGGACTGCCCTTGTTGGAGACAGTGTTAGTGACAAACCATTCCAGACTGATGGAAAACATCTCCCCGCAGATTCTGCACAGGGTCACACTGGCTGGCATGGCCATTGCAAAAGCAGCTGCCCCGCACGACCATCTCATAGACAGCATAGTAGTATTTCTCAAGGGGATCACTGTGCCTTCTTCCAAGCAGAGCATCCCCAAGGGTGTGGAGTTTAGTAAAATTGATCCTTAGGTTTGTCAGCGTAATGAGCTCTGGAAGAAAAGAAATCAAGAGCCCAAGTTCACATGAAGATGAGAAGTATGAAATCTGCAGCTTGGATCAGTCATCCAAAAATTACCCCACACTGAAGAAACAATGAAAATTATATAATATTGGCCAAGACCAGAAACCTGAACAGTGCCAGGGCACAGACCCACTCCTGGCACAGCTGTGTGTTGGTATGGCTGTGGCTAAGGCCAACCTGTATTTTCTCAGTCACACTCTGCCTGGGTTCATGTACAGCCCTGGAACTGCTCCCAAAAGGCAGTGTAGATTGGGCCACTTGATCCCAGAAGGAAAGATAGTCCAGCATGTGCAGAACAAGATTGGCCCATTTTATTTATTAATAAAGACGTCTCCCTAAGGTCTTCTGGTACCTAATTTTCAACATCATTGACTTAGACCAGCCTTAGCCTTTTACCATTTCAGTGTACAAAACAAGCAACACCAGCAAAGTATCTCTGGAGGAAACCTGTACTGTCCATACCTTGAATATATGGCACATATGGATTTTCTATTTCAAAGCTGGGATCCAAAGCTTTTAAAACAACCTGCAAAACAAATGAACACAGCTCTATAGATCACTGAAGCTATTATTTTTGTATATGAAATCTGGAGCCTGGTAGTTACTAATGCCACTTTACTGATCTCATAAAAGAAAAAACAAAAGGCTATGGCTCTGATTCAGTAAGTGTCCTCACCCTTTCCACCTGGCCTTAGCTGGGCAAGGTAAAAAGAGCTTTTGGTGGATTGATGTGCCAGGAGGAAGGAAAAGCAGTGCCCTGGAGAATGATGTAGAGATGGGATCAGAATTTATGAAAGGGATCAAAGGACAGACCCCTGCCTTTAGCAGCAAAGGCTGAGGGATGGTCAAGAACTCTTATGAGGGGGACTTCCATATGAATTTGGAAAGCAGGAAGGAGCAGTATAAGGTTTTGTACAGGGTGCTTTATGAGTTCATTTGGATGTGAAACTGAGGGTAAAGTGCAGTGTTTGTGTTTCCCTCTTACTTCAGAAAAGTCAATAGCACTTCATGTCTCAGCACCTCTATGAGCAGATCTGATGGAGACAGACAAGAGACCCTCAGCACCACAAAAACAGCCACATACAACCTGAGCTCATACAAATACAGACACTTGGCAATACCTCTCCTCCAGTGGAGGGCTCGATGTCTGAATATCTTGAATCACAAATGACGTCTCCTACGCTTTTTGCTGGACCAGGGGAGATGTTGGGAAAAGAAGCTGCACAGTCCTGTGCAAAATATCTAAGTGCCTTCCAGGTCTGACCGAAGTCGGTGGAGCGCTCAACCAGCATTGCCGCGGGCCGAAACGTCTGCAAGAAACATTATTTCAAGAATTATTTAACCAGGTGTTGATAAAATATCTCAGAGGTTGTTCCACTGACATTCCTTTTTGGGGGATGCCAACAGCTGCCAATTAAAATTCTGTGTTTGAAAGCTTGCAGGCTCCCTACAGGGCTGCTGCGCTGGTTACGTGATTCTCTGGAAAAGACGGATACCTCACCTGAACTCTCTCAGCAAAAGGGTATGGCAGACTTCCACATAGGTATAAGATTACTTTCCAAGTAAGGAAGTTTACCATAACAATTTAGGAATTTTGTAGAAAAAAAATTGTAACCATCTGGATCGTAATGGGTAGGCATGAGAAGAGTGAATTAAACTTGAAAGAGCAACCTTGGTTCAGAAATGTCCTTAATGTTTAACTTTTAATTTTGCAATTTCTTTATTTATTTCAGCTTTAATTCTCAGATTTATAGAAAATAGGACCAGAAGGCTCATTAATAGGAAGCTATTCAGTCTATCCTCATCCCCTAAGGCAGGATCAACTATAACTTAAACATACTTGACAGGTGTTTATCTTTCCTGTTCTTACAAACCTCTAAAGATGGAGCCTTCACTGCCTCTCTAAGCAATTTATTCCTGTGGTTAAGTAATTAGTGTATAACATTACATAAAAGCTCTGGTAAAAGATGTACCTTAAAAGTCAGGATAAGATGGCTGAACTGGAATAAAGTTTCTAGGTCCAATCTAATGCTGACATGGTCAACACCTGAAAAGAGATTGAAAATGAAGAGCACAATGCACACATCAGTGGGGTGGCTGAGACAGCTTTCCTGAGGGGAATTCAGAGATTCCTTTTCCAGCACAGCAGCGAGGCTCTCTAGGGCATTCCCTGTGCTCAAGCCTGATGTCCAGCTGGATCACTCTCTCCAGGGCAATGTGATGCTCTACCTTTCTGGCACTCGCACCAGCAATGCTGCATGTCAGTGAGACTGCAGGGATGGTCAAAGGTCCCATTCAGACTGAACTGTAAGTGCTGGTGATGGTAAAGTTCTCAGTTGACATTTTCCTCTACCCAGAAATATATATATTTAAAAATCTATTAAAATAATTTGCTTATTTCTAAGAAAAAAATGAAACAAAATAAAAATACTGAGGTTCTTTCTGCTAAACAGATCTGTTAAACCTTTCTATAATGCTAGAGCTGAAATATTTCATAAGCATAGCTATCACACCAGGTATCTTCCAAAATTATAACGAGTGTGGGCAAAACCCTCATAATTCACACGTTTTCTATGGAGAGTTGCAGGAGCTCAGCTGATATCCCTGTTGTTCACATCTACATGCAGCATTGCAGGACCCCTTCTGACCAGGCTGTACATGAGATCTCATCTCAGAAGAAAGATTGTGAGAGCAAGAAAAGATCCTCTTACAGCTGGCCCACAGCTTTACTGACTTCAATGGCCAAAACTGGTGGCAGTTCCTCGCTAAACTCCATGAAAAAACAAGTCTTATGAATCTTCCTTGGACAACCAAAGTAGGGGTAACATACTATCTTATGCTCTGCTGTAATTTACAACCAGACAAATATTTTTTACGTATCACTGTATATCTAATAAAGTAGAGTAGATGCTATTCCTCCTATCATGCCTTCACAGAGAAACTGTAAGGATACACGAATTGATATCAGTGAAGAACTACTACAGAGAAGCTTGCAACAAAATTAACATGTGGTAATAAGGGTGTTGATAGCCAAGCTTAGTTTAATTATTTCCTAAAATATTCATGTTTTACACTGCAAGCACTTCTTTTTTTAAATGGATATTTGTGTTTTACATGTTGTGTCATTACACATCCTGTCATTATGCATTTGTAGGCAAAAGTACTTTTTGCCAAAAAACAATTTCCCTGAGAAGCAGACACTGTGAAAAACACATGGCCACTGTGTATAACACAGCACTGCCCTGGGTATTCTGGTCAGTTCTTGGAGATAAAATTTGTATATTGAGAAACAGGTTTTCTGAAATCCTATACAGTTACACACCAATAGGTTTAAATCAGTCAGCATTACTGAATCAAAGAATGGATGCATTTTTTTCTCATCTCTTCCTGAAGGCAATGTGATGAATCACAATTACATAAATAAATCTCAGAGTAAAATTATGCAGTAATATTTTCTCAAAGAAACTTACCATTTTCTGACTGCCACCACTTTTTTTTCCTATCAGGCTCAAACGTCGTGATAACATTTTCAATCATGTGACTGTTGTGCTGTGTATAGGGATTATATGGATATCTGGAATCACAGAGAAAGCACTTCTGTTCAGCCTACAAAACAAAACAAACAGGATAAAAGTTTTTTTTGGTCTCTTATCTAAAGATCTGGTGGATGTACACATTTATGTCATTGCAGCATTGGACCCTGGTGTGTTGCTTTGGGTACCTGTGCTTTTAATCCTCAGGCTTTCATATCTAAGGGACAAGTCCAAGAAAATAATCATATGCACAAACTATGCATATAGTAAAATGTGGCCTCAGTTTGCCCCAGGAACTCTATAAACAACACATTTTTTTCAGTTGTTGAAAGGGGATCACAGTGAGAGCAAAGACAGAACCTTGTCAAGGTGTTGATTCTGGGTTTAGCTGCCAGAGGGTTTGTTTTGTAAGAGTTTCTGGGGATAAGTTTGTTTGTTTTTTTTAAATTGAGCTTTCTTCATGTTTCATAAAGACTGTAGAAACTTTCAGCCAGACACAGCAGCGAGGAGACAGAGGGGTTACAAGGTCTTTCAAGATCCAAAGAAGCCTTGAAGAGAAACATTCACTAAATTATTTATGCGTTTTTTTCATCTATCTTTTGCACATTTTCTAGCAGCTTGGAGACCCAGCCAGGAGTATCAGACAGGTGTTATTGTACAAATGGAAGACAAGGCTGGATCCAGGTACAATCTCAGTAGTTGTTCTGGGCAGACACCCCACCACCACTGTCAGTGCCTTTTGTAGGCATAGGGAAACTGGAAAAGTTTCAAAACACCACAAGGGAAGAAAATCAAGATGCCAATAGGATGGAAGGGTCTTCTTTGAAAGTGTAATGAGCACAAGGTGAGGGTGGCAATGATTAGCCAGTATCTCAGTGCTGAATGAGAGGTTTTTGTCTGCAAAAGGGCTTTCAAAGTGAGGGTGAGGAGCTTCTATTGAATGTGGTAAAGAGAGGGACTGATTGGGAGACAATAGGAGAGGTGACAAGGTTGACATGGTGGTCTGGGAGATGACTCCAAGCAGCACGTGATGGCAGCAGGCAGGGCCACAGGGGTGGGTGAACAGCAGTGGCTGCACCAGGGGAGGCCCAAGCTGGGCATGGGCAGGTGGACTCTGAGGTTTGGGAAGAACCTGAGTGTGAGGACTCAAAGATAAGCCAAAGTGGGAGGTGATGCCCAAGCTGTGTGCCTGGCTGGCAGGAA